GCATGCCTGCGGTCGACTCTGAGGATCCCACTCCGGGTTAAATTACTCATTATTGACAATTTTGGCAAGGGACATAACTCGCAACGTTTACATTTGTTCAAAATGGAACTTTGCATACAATTACTTCATTCGTTGAGCCACGTTGTCTTAAAAAGTTCGATTGTTTCAGCTTTATAGTTCAAAAAAAGGAACAGGTTTTGAAAATTCAAAATTTTCAATTTTTGACCTTGACCTTTTTTGACCCTGATTTTTGTAGGATCAAAGGTCATTCACATTGGCTATCTATTTATACTTTTATATTTGCTGTCCTATCTCAACTTCCGGTTTTATAGCCGTATATAATTAAAAATTTGGATGACTTGTATCTCGTAACCTTGACCTTTGTTGACCGTCTCCCTTTCAATGTCAAATGTCATTGACCTTGGCTATCTTCTGATACTTTCATTTGTGAGGGCTGTCTACTTCCGTTATAACAATCTTACAAACAATTCTTCTCAACTTTAGACTGCTCTTGCGCGTGATGTAATTATCGTAGAAGGTTGATTTTTTCAGAGTCTTTAGCATTTTGCTACATTTGCAAAGTCCCACTCTGTGCCACGTGTGGCTCTAGTTTGTAATTGATATTTAAATCATTCAAAACTGATTGGCAAAATTCAATTCAGAAAACAGTGTAGCCAGAGAGTAGGTCGTCTTGTCTCAGCATACTGATTCGTGGCAAATCAACCCAATATGAAAAGTGAATTAAAATAACTTTTTATCAGAAATGCAAACATAATTATTCTTTCACATTCAAAAACACCAATGCGCTTATCCCTCTTACTCTTTATATGGTGGCCCATATATGGCAGGTGGACCATACCAAAGTTATTAAGTAGTAAAAAAGAGTTGGCGAAGTATTCCTTTTTGGGCAATTCCTTCTAGAAACTAGTAGAAATCTTGTGTTTGTTTGTTGGCTGTGTCAGAGTGGCCTGTGTCCAACTTCACGTTTTATGGTCATACTTTTGAAATATTATTAATCAAACAGATTAAATATATACTTTTCGCAATTTTTACCCACCTGTTCTACTTGTTGAGCAAGTTGATTGAGTTGTTGTATAGGTAATTGAGAAATGTCAATTTGTTGAGGAGATTTGGCAGCCATGCTGGATAGTTTATTGTTCTCGATTAACAAGTGAAGTAATATGTTTTGATAATATTGGATCAGTTGAGACTGGATGTTCAAGAACCATAATTAGAACTGATTTTACCTTTCAGATAAAAGATTTCTATTTTCAGGGGACCTAACCATAAGACAAATTAATTGAAAAAACTACAGTAAATTCTTCAAGCTCTTACTTATACTGGTTAGAGGTCGAAAAGGAAAATTATCTAAAAGACTTCTCCATCTCTTCTTTAAAACATTAAATATTTCTCAAACTATAGAAAGGTCCAATGGAGTGGTGGAAAAAGCTACATGTAGAAATTATAGATATAGATTTTCCAAAAACAATTTAAATTTCAAAGATCCGACATCCTTAGATTTATTTCTACTACGTATAGCCTAACAATGTTATGCGATATGCATGTCTGTTTCGAGTCAACCCAAGCCCACGAACACCCAGCTATCTCTTGCGTATTGTACCTTTCTGCATCTTGATTCTTGATGTTCATTGGTTTGGATACGCTTCAGTTTCAATCAAAAACATACGTATTATCAAAACGAACTAATGACCCTTCAAAAATCACGAAGGCTTTGTTCCCTGTCTGCATGTTCAAAGCTAAAAGCACACAAACCAGACGTGTCTTTGATTTTTTGGGACATGACAAAAAAAGACAAAACATGAAATGTTTCAACTGATTCTTTTTGCTATAGAAACGTCACATAGTAGAGGCTCTTTAAGGCGACAAGTTATCGAAATATCGTATAGCTGTTTTCTTTTCTGAGTTACCAAACCGTACACGTAAGGAGGTTGCGTCAAAGCCGCAGAGTTCATATAAGCCGTTACTACCGATAAAGTTTCGTGTTTCAACACCTCTGGGAACGCTTTGTTAAACGATTTTAAACATTCCACAACGTTATCGACATTTTGTCTTTTGGCAATCACGTGAGACATTCTGTTTCCTTCTTTCAAAACACTGGAAGTGAATCCTGCTCTCTTTCTTTTCGAAGCTCTATAGATGTATCTAACATATCTAACGTTAGCTATATGTTGTTTTTGACTGATGGTGATTGCCATTTCTGTTTTGATATACCTCTGTACTCTATTGTTTGCTGAAATATTAGGATAAATTGAGATATGATAAAATATTGTACTCTGATAGCTTAAAGGGACAGATGCGCCATTTTCTTTTACCAATCATATTTTAGTCTCAGAAAAGGGATTTTTTTTAGCTAAGCTAAATCCACGTGTGTCCAGAATTATCCACGTTTGAATGTTAAAATGACGACTCGCCATTTTAAGACACTCTGTGATATACATAATATAGAAATAGGGAGTAAAATTCCTAGTTTGAAGTATTTTAAAAGGAATTATACGATTTTCTAACATTTCTAGTACTGAAGTCTATTTATATATATTGAACGCTCAAATCAATCACCCAAAATGACGCTCCTGTCTCTTGAGTTTGTTTTGGTCATACTGTTAATGTCAAATTTTGGAAAGTTAACCACCATTTCCATCATGTATTGTCCTGATGCCTGGAGTAACTAACTTCAAAGACAACGGGATATTTGCCTCATAGAAAAAATACCCTAGTTACGGTCCTGGAACAATAGTATAAAGACCCCAAGCAACCCCAGAGAGGGATTTTTTAGCGTAAACCGTGTTTTATTTAGTAAAAATTGGATATTTTTGCAGAAAAGAAGTGACATTATGACTCAAATACGTGCAAACTCAATCCCACCTCTCTCATCAAAAGCAAAATCTGATGGTGTTCATCGAAAACATATTCTTGTAGACCTACCTAAACCTGCTATTTTCAATTCTATAGGATAATGGTCAGATATATCCTTCGCCTGGAAGTAGAAAAGAAAATTATACAAGGTCGTTACAAGTTGTTTCAAGTGAAACCATTAAATCGACACTTCATTGGTATAAATAATTCCTCCAATGTATTTAATCGTCTAAATATTGTTACTGATAGTAAATCATCATCGGTAACAACTGCGAGAGAAATTGTTAATAAATTGTTAATAAATGGTTATATTTCTGGAAAGGACCAAAACATGCACAGCGAATATTTTAACGACTACATGTATATGGCGACTCTTAAAAGAATTCTCAAGTCGAATTGGAAAAACACATTTCAAAGTGAAGCCTGTCGTTCCGATTTTTCATGAGAGCTTACAATGATATCTAATTTCTACCATTTTCCATTAAGAAGTTAATAGTAAGTATTTAGGAATGATCTAAAACGTACCTCATCTTGTGTTAAATCAAAAGCTAAATCAAATCTATACACAGTAGCACTTCCAGGTACTACGGCGGACGTCAATTTTCTACCAGCTACCACAAACCTGCAATATTAAGCCACACGTTTTGGAAAATCGGTGGGCGAACAAGAAGGTTGTTAGTGTTGTATATTATAAATTGGTCACCAATCATTCATTTCATAGGTTGATAGACCTCAAATTTAAACTGAGATAATTTTAGCTTTAAAGATGGGTTCTATTATTTTCATTTATGATGTCAACTGGAGCTTTGTAATCTCGGATTCATGGAAACCGCAGAGAACTGCTAAAAGTGTAGATAGGGCCTACCTATCGTAAGCGCAATCGGTACTGCCAACTGTTGTATCTGCGTCATCTTCGATCAACCAGGAAAACCGTCGATCACTTCTCAATGTGATTTTCTCCCAGTCACCCTTCCTCACATAATCACCATCAGCATTAAAATCACCAGCTATTATTATGTCCTATGATATAGAAATAAGAAATAAGAAAAAATAGAGTACCATTGTAAGAAACTGTAATTTAGAACAATTTCGTTTCGTGATTTTTTTTTCATTTTGGTCTCAATTGTAATCTAAAATCTCCTTTTGTTGGCGTTCATTTCAACCAATCACAGTGCGTCATACAAAATCCGTTCTTGAATATCGACTATGAATTGTGGGATAGAGAGCGATATGACTTCAAATAGTATGAAATTGTCGATACTCGCTTGTAAGAGTGATTCTGATTTGCGAGAGAGTGTGCGTGATTGACTGCTATAAATAGCCAGTGCGTGACATTGGTATATATTTCGTTAGATTGCAATCGAGGACACAACATAAATAACGAAACGAAATTGTTATCTATCATTAGATTGAATTTGGAATGGAGCTGCCTTTAATGAACTCAGGAACTTAGTTTGTCAGTTCAAATCCCAATATCTCTTTCTTCCAAATGACTACCAATCAATCCGGTTGGAAGCAATCAATGACTTAATAAGCAAAGACTCAAAGCTAAGATTTCCATTATTACTTACCTCTAAAGCCCAATGGTGCTTTGTCTGTTCATATACTTGATGTAAAGCCTTGATCTCGTTTACTGCGTTCCTAGGTGCTGTATGGATAGCAATTATAGCAAAATCTTTAATTTCTGGAAAGGAAACGTTATCATCTATGTTAAGCGCTGAATATTGAATAACCGAATTCGCATTATATATTGAGTTATCGTTATCCTAAGCATTATGTACAGGATTTATAGTTATATCAATATTTGCCTTCGCCGCTGCAGATTTAAAATCTGACACCCGTTTCCCAGCTCTTCATGAAATACCGTGAATGGTTTGACTGTTACTTTATGGCGCTTTAGCCTTCTCGTTGACTGATAGTTACCCCCAAAAGGCCGTGAAAGATACGCTAGTGCTCTTCAGCAGATTCAGCTTTGCGGAAACTGCCGACGAATGCCGAATTAACGGCCTTCGTATGACATGATAAGCAGACTAGATTATTTACTATACCGGTAGTAGGCGATTCAAATCTAACAGCAAAAGGTTCTCTAGCAAAGGTATCCGAACCATCGTCAACTCCATCATCATATTGATACGTATCTTTTATACGTAACTTTCTGCACCTAAAATCATGTTGGAATTAAACAGAATATACCATATTCACCCAACTGCTATGCTATGTAGTCCGATGAGTGGAGTCCGTGAAGGGTTGTACGTCTGTGGTGTTTCGCTAAATCAGCCTCTGAGATAGCTTTGTAAGAGTACTAGGATTGTCAAAGAAGGGAAGTAAGTGAGGGGGTGGAATCTCAAGGCAATTCTTGAATGATAAGAAAGTTCCTATTAAAGACAAAGACGAGGCAAAGTTAATATTTGCTGCACACTGCTTGACGTTGCCCGTCTTCATTATCCTAATCTAAAACAGAAAATGGTTTACAAAAAATCCCTCTCCCACTGATTTAGTTTCAGAGCGATATCATACTTGACTTACCTATATAATATAGCATATTGTTCTTTACAACCTCGTCTACCTAATCTCTCACTGACTTCATATTTATATGGATTGTAAGGATCTACTCTAAAAATATATATATATATTTATGTATAATATATAAAGTTACACACTTTTATTTATTTGTTTATCTACTTACACAGATTATAATGATGATTATTTACACTGTCAGATTATAAAATGTGTATCAGTTTATTTACACATACATTCAGAGTATAAAATGTGTATCAAAGATTTTAAAATGTGTATCAGTTTACTAACACATACAATCAGAGTATAAAATGTGTATCCACACACACATTCAGACTATAAAGATATTTAACGATTATAAAGATGTTTAACGACTGACTTACCCATACAGAATATAAAGATGTATAACAATTGACTTACCCATACAGATTATAAAGATGTTTAACGACTGACTTACCCATACAGATTATAAAGATGTTTAACTACTGACTTACCCATACAGATTATAAAGATGTTTAACGACTGACTTACCCATACAGATTATAAAGATGTATAACAATTGACTTACCCATACAGATTATAAAGATGTTTAACGACTGACTTACCCATACAGATTATAAAAATGTTTAACAACTGACTTACCCATACAGATTATAAAAATGTTTAACAACTGACTTACCCATACAGATGATAAAGATGTTTAACAACTGACTTACTCATACAGATTATAAAGATGTTTAATGACTGACTTACCCATAAGGTTATAAAGATGTTTAACGACTGACTTACCCATACAGATTATAAAGATGTTTAACAACTGACTTACCCATACAGATTATAAAGATGTTTAACAACTGACTTACCCTATAGATTATAAAGATGTTTAACGACTGACTTACCCTACAGATTATAAAGATGTTTAACGACTGGCTTACCCATACAGATTATAAAGATATTTTACGACTAACTAACCCATGCAGATTATAAAGATGTTTAACAACTGACTTACTCATACAGATTATAAAGATATTTAACGACTAACTAAACCATACAGATTATAAAGATGTTTAAAGATGTTAGGCTACTTACACATTCAGATTATTGAGAAGCTTATCCAGTGATGTTTGATGACGATCTCTAATCTCTTGTATTACCAAAATATCATATCGTTTGATGATCTGCAAAAGAAACAGCAATTACAAGATAACGAACTCTTCAAAAAAAGAATAGTGAAGTCAAAATTATTACACACGTATACTATAAAATGGAAAGAAAAGTCCTAAATATAATAGGCTTTTGATGTTTGTGACATGCGTGTTTAAAACGCCACTCATTTTCCAGTTATTTACAAATTATTACTGTGATATATAGTGCCCATCTAGTTACAGCTTCTCTTTATAATCACGAATGCAATAACCATTAATACAGAGAGGGTAAGCGGTTTAGGTCGATCTATTGACTGCTGGCATGTGGGAGAACATGTCTGGATTAAGTTGGGTTAAGTGCACCATCCAGTTGGCGATTGATCGTGATGGGTCTGATGATGAGATGCTGTGAATTGCCAGTTGACCTTGTATGTATTATACAGTTCTCAACATGTAGGTCTGTCTGTTGTTGGAAACGTAAGCTACCTTCATCAGCAATTCAGTGATGTGTTGATGACGCAATTTTCTGATACCAAATATTTGTATGTTGAAAGCCCCGACAGTAACTGGAGGAGCAGCTATCGTATCGTTGTCTTCAGTGGCGTATGCACTGGGATCGATCACATCATTCATTGCTTCTGTAAAGTGAAATAATTTCAAATAAATATTGGAGCTTTACGTCATAATTTTGTATAGCAACGAAAGATTAGCAGTGCAGTGGACAATATGAGGAAATCTAATCAAGAGACTGCAACATAAGATTATTCATTTGTTTTTTTCATTCGTCTGAAGCAACTTCGGGTCGGTTTTGTCGTATCCGAACCAGCTGAAGATTGGCCTTTTCAGTCCCTCCCACAAACAGTTGAAAAACCGACGGAAATGTCTAAACAAGCCGAAGTTAGGTCCACTGGCACATAACTCGTTAGGCAACTCGGCATCATGTAGACGCATACGTAACATTCGGATCCAAACATCCCGTTGGCCCACTTGATACACGCTTTACAGACACTCATCTTTAAATTTTGTATTGTAAGTCGCCAAATATATAAGTATGGACAACCATTTGGTATGAAAATGTTTGTTTGGATTGGTGAAAGCTCACGAAGCTGTTTGATTAATGCGAACCACGGGTGCAATATGATGAATATCGACGTGGTTAAATTTAAAACGATGGAAGTAATGCAAAATTAAGACTTTAGAGCCCTTTAGAATTATTATTTTTAAAGGGACAGATGCGCTTTTTTCATACTTTACTCTCAGAAACGAGAATTTATTTTAGCTAAGACAATCAGTAATAGTGTTCACAGCTCACTGTCCATAATTATCCGCGCTTAAATGTTAAAATGACGACTCGTGATTTTAAGATTACTCTGTGAAATATAGAAATGACAAATATAGAAATTTGTAAAAGTAAAAAATTTGTGTAAGTAAAATTCCTAGTTTGAAGTATTTTTAAAGAAATTTTGCTATTTTCGTACATTTCTAGTACTTCTGAAGACTATTTATATATTCAAGGCTAAATTCAACCCTCCAAAATGGCGCATCTGTCCCTTTAAGTCATGTCAATCACTTTGGATTTTATCGATGAATTTAAGTTGAACCTAAAAAAAATCTACCGTATACAAACTTCACGCAAAATTACATGTACAAATACACGTATTACTATACCAAGTGCAAAATGAAACTTGAATAAATGAATAAGCTTTAAACTTTTACTAGGGCGTATTAAACTTGAAGGGATTTAAATAAAAATCGACACTCGGTGTATTTTCAAATAATTAAAAAAAAAACATTCTGGACACACATGGATTTGAAGACTCAAATTTCGACGGTGATCTGTAAACACTATTACTGATTGACTTAACTAAAAAAAATCCTGTTTCTGAAACTAAGGTACGATTTGTCAAATTGCGCCTAAAAGGTATGTTTAAACATTGGGCCCAGCATTGGTTAAAGACGAAATCATTAAAAAATATGCAAAGAAATCATTTAATTACTGATATCAATTCATTTTCTTATTTCATTTTAAAAATATGTTGCTATGACAACAATTAAAAAGTTTAAAGTCGATGAGTTTGAAATTTCTTATGATATTTAGTGCATGATAGAACTGTATATCATGTTACATACTACATATACTAACATGAGATATGGGCCTACTAACCAGTAGCAAGTCTATATACCCATATATATTTATAATTGATGCCGTATGACGCGCAGTTTTAAACAGTCATTAATAGATAATGAGCGTCATTTTTTTCTTCGCCTACTGTTTCCGTACCTCGATCGCCTGTAAGTTGCGGAGCTAGCCTTCCGATTTAGGGGTACAAATATGGACAGACTGACTCCTTGGGGGGCAACTGTCGGGGCTGATTTCAAAATACGGCAACTTTGTGGAGGCGTAATATTCGCAAGTCTTTCATGGAACGTCTGAAGGGGGTCTCTAAAGAAAATTTTCGAAAACTTGAATTGATTTTGATATTTTCTGACACACATTTTGAGGCATAAACGTGTAAAAATCATACATTTAAATTTGTTAAAAGTGAAGTGGGGGTACAATTAGTTTTTCTGGGGAGGTGGGGAGTGGGTGTGGCAAATGCTAAAATACTATACACTGTAGAGGTGACATGTCCACTCGGCGACAATTTTTTGTTGGTTAACTCGAGTTTGTCACCGAGTAAACTCACTTAATTGTCACCGAGTTAACTGTCTCCGAGTTGACATGTCACCGAGAGACTGATATACACTGTAGATACCCTCCCCATTTCTATTTTCTTCAACTGTTCATCATTATCATAATTAATTGAATATTGAGCATCCTGATCGAGTAAGTAATATGTAATTGAGTTTTACTTCCTTCTCTCGTTTCCTGGTTGGTTAATGAAGACAGCCGAGTGAAATGGTGAAATTTTGTCGGGAGGCGAATTTAGCCTTTTCTCTTTCGATTGACGAGGTGTTCAACCTGCAAAGAATGTAGCACACGGGGCCTCGGTTCATTGTCCTATCCGACAAACCCTACGACCTTCATTACTGATAGTGATAAGGTTAGAAAATACGAAGGGCTTTCATCTTGATGTATCCCTCGAGAGAAATCGGTTGTTAAGGGAAACAATTATTTCAAAGGCATTATGCCTATTTTTACTTTTGATAATAATTTGTTGAAATGAACCGTGACAGCTGTTCTAATATAATATAGAATATAGTTTATATATGGCTAATTAATTAATTAAGTTAAAAATAAACTTTCGTCTCACCTGTGCGTTCTAGTGCATAATTTTGCGTCATATAGATCCAATACCTGAATGGAATTTTATACCAAAAGAGCGCCTAAAAATCTAAAGTTATAGCTTACCCATTGTGTATCCAGCCGTTATGGTCAAGGTTATTTTTTAATTTCTATCGAGCATATACTTCACGCTCTATTTCTCGGTAGTCGACATTGTCAAGTCGAAACAAAGCGGGCTATATCCAAATTCTGTGATAATCAAGACTATTTAACGATGTTTTAACGGTCTGGATAACAGAGACTTGTAAATTGAGTTATCGCCCCGTTAGAGTGCGGGACTGTCGTGTTGTATAGTAACCATAAACATGGTGGAAAAAATAATTTCGTAAAAAGTTTTTTATTTACATTTTCATTCATAAGGTTTGTACAGAGTTTTGTCTTCTAATTTTGCCTAATGAAATTGAAACTTGTTGCAAATCGTCCATGTTTTATCCATTTTGTTTAAATGTATGCAAATAATCAACACAATTTTGTTTTAAAAGGCTTTGAATCTAGCTTTTTCTGTACAATTTCATTTTATTTCTTCCCAAATTCATTCTTACTTGTTCCAATATTTGTCAATCAATTTCCAAATGACATCAATTTGTTAAGTTTATGATGTTAAAATCTGATTGTACTTTGGTCGGTATCAAATTTGGCTTAAGGGTGTCATGGTCTACCGTTTCCTTTAACTTTTAAAGTGTTAAGTGATACCAGGTACCGTACTACGCATTTGAAGCTTCACCAACCTCGAGTGTAAATTTCAGTTAGGTTACACTCCTCAATTGTCCCGATGATAGGTGGCGATCTATCTTATTTAAATAAGCTTATGGGACTAATCAACCAGGAGACGTCCCGACCCTATATTCTGATGATTTTAATGAGTCTTTGTGAGACCCAACACCAAAACTAATTTAAGCTGCATACTTAAAAAGTAGCTCACTCACTTTATAATTAACTCTTTTAAAACAAATCCACTTTGATCAAGTTGATACATAGGCTTAGATCTAAATAGCATATTTTAAAAATATTTTCAGGTATAATTTACAACCTTTTTTGATACGGTTTTGGTAATGAAAATTTTGCATAACTGCCCCTTTAAAATATCCAGCCCAGCATTAAACAGTAAAGAGCTAATTTACTATATAAAATCTCAACTCATTTCATCTGAAATAAATTCAGGTTTATACAAAATTTAAAGATGGATTCCCTTATTTTCATTTATGAATTAAAGATGCTAATAGTTATATGAATAGAAAGTAGAGATGATCTAATGACTTGGAAAAATACCAGTTCATTCATAAATAGCTCAATTAGAAAAGAATTACCAGTAGAATTCCAATGAGTGACCAATCAAGAAATCATAGAATAAGAACATAATGATATGATTAAGAATACATGATAATTCATTAAAAACACCAATTAATCAAATAGTTTGCTGAATTTGACACTAAAAAATAAGGAAACCCATCTTTAAGATACCAAAATGTATATACTGGTACCGGTATAGGAGATTTTTTTCCGCACATAATATGTCATTCTGCCCCTTTAAACTAAATTGTCTTTTTTTCTATTTTCAGATCTGTCCAAGTTAAAAAGATGTCTAGTAGTGGAGATGAACGAGAGGGGGAAGAAGCTATGGAGGTCAACCCTGAAGAGTATGAAACACCAATATCTGCTATCGCCCCTCTCGTTGTCAAGGCTGAAGACAATCAAATTGAAGTTTCGGCCAGTCCAGCTTTTCAGCGACTGGATGAATTATTTCAACAAGGAAAGTTAACAGGAACCAAAGTTGCTTGGCTTAAATCCAAATACACAGAACTGCATGATTTTTTACGTGAGGCCCGGGGCAATGAAACAAAACTTCTTCAAGATGCCAAAAACTTTTCTGCAATATTAGATCAAAATAGGGTAGAACTTGAAAAGGGAGATAATTTTCCCGATAGTGAAAACACAGAAGTAACAAAATTACGTGAACAGTATTTGAAATATATGAACGAACTTGCGCAAACTGAAGAAAGACAATATAACTTGGAATATAGAATCGAATGTCTACAAGAAGAAAAGAAAATCGTGGAACGAGAGTATTCTCGACTTCCAAAACAAGGTGAGGTGGAGAAAAAGATCAAAGAATTACAGACTTCAGCCGAGGAAATGAAAAAGGAAATCGCACAACGTCAAAATGAGTCTAAAAATTTACGTGAGGATTTAGAGCAGGCTAATCGTCAAGTCGTGGTTGAAAGGAAAGAATATGAAAAATTGATGGAAGATGTAGAAAGCCATCGTACAGAATTGGTTCAAGTCCAGTCCAATCCTGGTTATATCATCAAAGAAACTGATAAACTTCAGAGACAGAAAAATGAAGTGGATAAAAGAATCGCCGAACATGATCAACAGTTGAATGATCTGAAAGAAGCTAAAGACTTGCTGGAAAATAAACGAAATGATCTGGAGAGTGAAAAAAATGAGGTTGATCGAGAGCTAGATCGAAATCAGACGTTGTTGAACAGTCAAGAGCATGAGTTATCTGTCCAGAGAAAAGAATGTGAACTCTCTAAGGAGAAGGAAGCAGTGTTGATGGGAGATAGAGCATCAGTTGATATGAATCTACGTCACATCCTCTTGGAGCGAAAAAATCAACACGATATCCATGCCAGAAGATGTCGCGAAAAAGAAAGAGATCTAAGAAATTTGAAAAAGGCAGAACTTCAGCTTAATGTTTTGGATGATGGTTTGAGTCAACTCAAAATGAAGCACGAAAAACTAAAATCTCATGCCCATGCTTTACCAAAAGATGATGGATCAAATTTGAAGAAGCGAAAAGAGTTACAGAAGGAGGTAGAACAAAATAAACGATCTCTGGCCCAAGAGAAGTCCTTGACTGCAGTTGAACATGTGAAATTAGAAGCCAGTGCCCAAGAAGAACAGAATCTGCTGTATGAACAAAGCGATCTGAGAATTGAGGTTGTGGAGTTGACCAGGTTGGCAGCCATTAAAGCTGACGAACGAGAACAGAAGGCCAGAGATTTCATGAGAGCAGAAACACGACATCATAGAGCTGTGGAAGATCTCAAAACCAAACAACTTCAGATTCAAGATCATCAGAAAAAATTCCAAGAAATGCAACAGAAATTGAAAGACTTTGCTAAATCCTATGATGTCATCAAGAATGAGAGGAACAAATGCGTCAATTTGATTCAAACCAGTACACAAAAGTCTGCAGAGATGAAAGAAAAAATTAAAATCCTTCAAAATGAAATTGAAATTCTTCGTACCAGTGTGTTGGAGAAAGACCGCCTACTCCAGAAAAACAAACTTAAACACATGGCCAGCATCGTGGAGAGAGACAGCCAAAGAAATGAGCACGCTAAACAGCAGCATATTCATGAGGCTATGAGAGAGACCAAGGACCAACAGAAAATGGACATCATGAAGTTGAATCTGATGATTAACCAAGCAGAAGAACAAATGGTGAAGTTACGCAAACGGTACGAAGTTGCTGTGCAAAATCGTAATGAGCGAGGCTTGAAATTAATCGAACGTGATGAAGAAGTATGCATCTTTTATGAGAAGGTCAACATTCAGGATCAGATGATACGAAATGGTGAGGTGGAGATGAAGGCCAGGGAGGAAGAGATTAGGTTTTTGAAGATGAAGCTAGCTGAAGAGAAACGTAGCATGGGTCTACTGTCCAAGTCCTTGCCTGAGAAACGAAAACTGGGTGGGGAGTTGGTGGACCTTCAGATTGAGTTGCAAAAGATTCAAGATCATCTTCTGACTCTGGAGAAGAACCTGGAGAATCCAAATGATGACAAACGGGTCAGATATATTGATGGAAAAGATCCAAGTCCACCTGAGATGCAGGCAAAGATTGAAGAGCTGGAACTGAGACTAGCAGAAACTGAGGAACAACTGCTAGAAAAGGCACTGATCTTTGAACAGACCAACAGAATTGTAGGTAGAATCAAAGGCAAAGCAGAAAGTGGCAAAGAAGATACTTTGAATTTAGCCAAAAATGTCAACGAAGTTCAGAGTCGAATCAAAGATACAACTCGCAAGATGATGGCCTTGGTCTCTGAGCTGTCCATGAATCAAGCTAATGCCATGAAACTTCAACAAAAGCTAAAAGAAAATGAGGTAGAATTAGAACAGTGTTATATAAGAATGGAGAAGGGTGAACCACCATCAGACGTGATTGATCAGGACTGGTTGAGATTCTTACGAGATCAAGAACGCCGAGCTTATGAGAAAGAAGAAAGAATGATAGCTGAAGAGGAAGGAGAACAATACAAAATTGCTGGAGGTCTTTATACTACAGCTGATCCTCGTCCTAATGCTTATATTCCTGATGATGATGATCTGCCTATTCCACGACCCTACGGTTCACATGCTCCATTTAAACCGGTTGAACCAGGTTCTTCGATGAGACACATTCGTAAACCAATACCTAAACCAATTGAAATATAGACTATGACTTATATGCTGTGTCTGTGTCTATCCTTGTGAACTCAATGTGAAATTTCAAAATGTACTGAACAATAAATCATGGTTATGTACTGAATGTGGCTGTTGCATCTACTGCTAGAACACAGTGTTTAAGTTTAGAATGTTCACCTATGTATATAAATACCATTTTCCTCCCATTAGCGTCTAAGATTAATTGCATGATAGATTAGTTAAGATTTTGCTATATACATATTGATAGCAATTTGAAGAAAATCTTGCTCAATAACATCAGCATTTATTAAAATCCAATGATATATGCTGAGGTCATCTTTACACAAGCTGATATTCAAATTCATAAAAATAATCGTATAAATACGATTTACAGATATAGTGATAAGACTAAGAAGGTGCCCTCACACTGTAGCAATGACCAGTTCCATTTGGTTGCAATAAATGAAAGTAGTCATGAATTCCCATTGAAGCTCACAACTAATTTGAGTTGCATTTGATCTTTATGACCATTATTCTTATTCGTAACCATACACAACAGGTGATTGCTATGGTGTGAGGGCACCTTTAATTTGCATGGAATGAATGACAGTCTAGGCCTTAAGGCAGGATGCACTCTTTTCTAACAGCATTATGTAGATCTGTGATACTTTTTATTACAATTTTGAATTTTTATCAGATTTCCATTGTCAAAAATTGTTTATTTTGTAAAATTCTTATCCACATGAAGCTAAAAATTACTAATGTGCCTATGTTGTTATATATGTTATATATATTATACAGAACCCTCCTGGAGTTACACAAATCAATTTTGTCATCTCTGAGAATTACAGAGTTACTGAGAATTCGATTGAGTTTACTGAAAATTCGATTGAGTTTATTGAGAGTTTGATTGAGTTTATTGAGAATTCAATTTAGAAATTGAGAATTCAATTTAAAAAATTGAGAATCCAATTTAAAAAATTGAGAATCCAATTTAAAAAATTTGAGAATTCAATTTAAAAATTGAGATTCCAAGTAAAATTAAGATTAATTTAAAATTGAGATTTCAATTCAGAAATTGAGATTTCAATTTAAAATTGAGATTTCAATTTAAAATTGAGATTTCAATTTAGAAATTGAGATTTCAATTTAGAAATTGAGATTTCAATTTAGAAATTGAGAATTCAATTTAGAAATTGAGAATTCAATTTAAAAATTGACAATTCAACTTAGTAATAAGAGGAATCAATTTGTTCTTTCTTGATTGGGTTTCCTCAGAAACAAACTTGGAAACTTAAGAATTCAACTGGATTCCTAAAGTGATTAATAGAGCGTAACCCTGGGAGGTTTCTGTATTTATTTATTGTTATTGTTTTATGTATTTATTAACCAAATATGATCAAATTCAGTTTTGAAAATTCTTTAAAGCAGATATCAATTTCTTAACCAGGGAAATAAATGAGTTATTATTTATGGAATGTTTAAATGCACAAATTTATTTTCAAAAAATTACCAAAGATGTAACAGGGAAAATATAAGAACTTCAAGAATTTGTCAAAGCTTATGATACTAATTTCATCATTTCAATTGCATTTTTAGATTGTATGTAAATATAGAGACTTAAAACATGAGATCATTTATAAACCAGTATTTGGCTATTTGTATGCCAATGTGACCTTTGAATATATAGATATGCAACTAGCAAAGTATTATAATATTAACAATGAATATAAACTAAGTATTGTGAACTAAATGTGATAATTATAATTCTGGTATAACCTGATAACAGCATTATCTTATATTAACAAATGATCATTTGTTTATATTTATATCTTATAAGGATGAATATTGACTAAGTATTGTGAACTAAATGTGATAATTATATTTCTGGTATAACTTGATTACAGCATTATCTTATATTAACAAATGATCATTTGTTAACATTTTTATCTTATTACAATGAATAAAACCTAAGTATTGTGAACTAAAGGTATTAACTTTATAACAACATTATCTTATATTAACAAATGATCATTTGTTGATATTTTGTAATATAACAATGAAGATATACTAAGTAGCCTGAACTAAATGTGATACTTATATTTCTGGTATAACTTGATTACAGCATTCTCTTATATTAACAAATGATCATTTGTTTATATTTCTATCTTATAACCTAATACTGTGAACTAAAGGTATTAACTTTATAACAGCATTATCTTATATTAACAAATGATCATTTGTTTATATTTTGTAATATAACAATGAATATAAACTAAGTAGTCTGAACTAAATGTGATAATTATATTTGTGGTATAACTTGATTACAGCATTTTCTTATATTAACAAATGATCATTTGTTTATATTTCTATCTTATAACAAATGATCATTTGTTTGTATTCCTATTTTATAACGATGGATATTAACTAAGTATTGTTTACTATATGTGATAATTATATTTCTGGTATAACTTGATTACAGCATTATCATATGTTAACAAATGATCATTTGTTTATATTTCTATCTTATTACAATGAAATAACCTAAGTATTGTGAACTAAATTATTAAATTTATAACAACATTATCTTATATTAACAAATGATCATTTGTTTATATTTCTATCTTATAAGGATGAATATTAACTAAGTATTGTGTACATTTATGTGATAATTACTGTGGTATAACTAGATTACAGCATTATCTTATATTAACAAATGATCATTTGTTGATATTTTGTAATAAAACAATGAATATACACTAAGTATTCTGAACTAAATGTGATAATTATATTTCTGGTATAACTTGATTACAGCATTATCTTATATTAACAAATGATCATTTGTTGATATTTTGTAATAAAACAATGAATATAAACTAAGTATTCTGAACTAAATGTGATAATTATATTTGTGGTATAACTTGATTACAGCATTATCTTATATTACTAATTGATCATTTCTTTATATTTATATCTTATAACGATCAGTATAAAGTATTGTGTATATGTGATAATTATCCTAATTATATATATTAATAAATTATCATTGGTTCTTGTTAAGATAGTACTTATATATATAAGTATATAACCTTTATACACCAGCCTGCTTTACCAAAAGTTATTTACACTGACTAACTTTTATCCTTTCTTATATTTCATCGTCTTGTTTTTCTATTGTAATTGTTGATATAAAGATATTTGAAAATAGAAAATATAGTGTCAAACTAACCTCAACACATGCCCAGTAAATAACATCCCTGTTATAATGGAATTTGTTTTTTTCAGGTCGGTTTAAAAAGGAATACTTCTCTTCTAATGTACAAAAAAAATCGAAGTCTTGGCCAATGAAAGTATATATTCATCAGTGGACTTACCTGGTATCATAACTAAAGAAATTGGCCTTATTAGATGACAAATCGGTAATTCTCATTGTTTCATTTTTAAAGGAAGGATATAAACCATATCCGAGAAAGATTACTTTAGATTAAACATGCATCAAGTTAAGGTATACATCCTTATAGCAATTAAAGTGGCATTGTGTACCAAAATATTACTTATAGTGTGGACGTAATGCAGAGTCGAATATGCCAAAATTTATATCAATATTAACAAACATCCATATTTTGTTGAACCTTAGGAGAAATTCATCCTTATAGCAATTAAAGTTGTGTACCAAAATTATGCCAAAATTTATATCAATATTAACAAAAACACATATTTTGTTAAACCTTAGGAGAAATTCATGTTTTAAACCGTTTGACTTGTGCATTCTGCAATAGTCAAGGTCCATTACCACTATACCTCAGATTCGGCCAAATCGGTTTTATTTATGTTTCTTTAGCAATGGCGTACGATGATAGATGCGATGCGTTAACATATACCGATAATATAGTATTTTTTACGTCTGATATCACGAAATATCGCAGCGGTATAGGAAAAATGGCATATCGTATCCTGCGCTTTTTTCTCTGGTATAACCTTGGAGTAATGACTGACATTACTCCGAGGTATAACGTATTACTGGTATGAATTTATAACAGCATTATCTTATATTAACAAAATAATCATTTACTTATATTTGTATGATATACAATTTCTATAATTCTGAAGACTACATATATTCAAGACTGAAATAATTCCAGAAAATGGCCCCAACTGCCCCTTTTAAACAAGTTTTTATTTGCTTGTGATAATTTTTATTCCATATAACAGAATTATCTTATATTGATGAATTATCATTTGACCACCGTTAATATAAATAGGCCTAATAATGAATATAAACCAAGTATTGTTTACTATTAAATGTGATATTTGTATTTCTGATGTACTGTATACTTTGATTACACCATTATCTTATATTGATGAATTATCATTTATTTTGATCATTGTAGATAAGAAAACATTGAATATAAACTAAGTATTGTTATTAAATGTGATAATTATCTGGTATTATCTTAATAACGTGTCATTTGGTCTTTTCTTATGAGTATATGGTATATGACACAATTACAAAATCATATATGATATATTAACAAATAATCATTTGCTCATACATTATCTGTGTTTTGTATTATGTACTCGTTTGTAATATTAGGAGTTTTCATTCGTGCAAATACAGTAGGGAAAGCACAGATTTCCTTATCGGTATTAGTTTTATTACATTGCCATGTGCTAGCCACTTCTTAATAAATAATATTATTCCTTGATTTTGCTGGAAATCCGACGTTTATCATCCTCCATTTACTTAAATTTTGAACAAAATCGATTTAGTTTAACGATTACGATAATGAGGTTTTGTTGCTTTGTATAGCTTGATTGACTCATATACTATGTTCCTATTTATCTCATTCCCGTTTAAAATTTTGTGGTTAATTCCTACAAGCGTTATACATTGAATCATATTGTATATCATTATGAAAATGAAGTGAAATCTTTACACATTGTGTTGTTAAATAACTGTATTATCTAGTGATTGATTATATTTCATTAAAGCCTGACTGAATTGAGCGACTAAAATTATAATTGTCCTA